GAAACATATGATAGAACTGTGGGGGACCAGTGGTGGTTGAAAAGATAAGAAGTATGAAATATAAATGACCATTCTTTTGAGAATGCAGAGAGAGACACACCCGATCCCCGGGGGCATGGCATCTCCCCTCAGGGTTGGCAATCTCTCTGTGGAACACATGGAGAGGGAGCCTATATGTAGTTTAGGTTAGGGGTGGTGTCTGAGAAGGCATTGGGATACACAGGTAGCCCATTGGCACTAGTTTAGCGCCAGCGGCAGATTCCTAGGCATGGGGGAGATAGAGCTCCTTGGTTCCGGCTGAGGCTTTTCCAGCTACAGTGTCTGGCCTGGGCCAAAACTTTTTCAGTAAGGACTAAAGAAATTAACTTAATTGAAATAACTAGTAGCAGTATGAACTCATGATTTGTAATTAGAAATGTGCAGCTGGACAGAGAAGTATGTAGGTAAGGAGCCTATGAATACGTTAAAACCATTTCCCACTATGGGGACCATGAATAGCAGAATGCTGGACCTGGGTGTATACAATATAGTGAAAGAAGAGTACTAGGATTGGAGTGTAGATTCAGAAAGATGGGATTACAGCAGAGATGATAACATCAGACACAGCACAGAGGCAGAGCTTGCAAACACTGATACACCATGAAGTCAGGAAGATAGGGGAGCAGTGATCTCATGTGTCCCGTGAGTGACAATTGATTTCAGCCAGCATCTTGGGAAAAAGGACACAGTGATTGTGTGTTCAAAGAGGGATGAATAGAAATGAAAAGACCTCAAGCAACTAATTGTCAAGTTCCAGCAATTTCAAGGGTATGTTCAGGAATCTAACACAAACTATAGGGACTAGTCTCAAATAGTGCACTCGCTTCTGTAAATCAAATTCACTACACTGAGTTCAGTCTTGGATACAGTATGCATGCCAACAGTGGCCTTGTGAAAATGCAGTTTCCAGTCCCACACAACACTAGAGAATCAGAATGATCCCCAGGACATTCATTTGTCCACTGAAGCTTGACACACAAGCTGGTATTAATACCCATCAACTCTCAGAACACACACATGGTCTGGGTATTCCCAACATGTCCTCCTCACTAGGTGGTGGATATTCTGTTACCTAACATTCCCACCTACCATCATCACCAAAGGAGCCTCTTCCCATCTTTACCCGATTTGGTGTGAGACCCTCACTTGCTACCACTTGTTGATGGTTTATTGATTGAGGAAAATCTAGCAGATATAAGATTTGAAATACAAGATTCTCAATACTCTTTGGAAACATTCCTTATTACCTTGCATTCTCACCCCTATACAGCTTTTACAGTAATAGTGTAGTGCAGAGACTCACTGCTAATTCAATATAATATCAAATGGACATTAAAGAAAAATACACTTCACAACTGGTAATTCTTTAGATTTATGGCTGTTTAGCTATTACCAAATATAGCATATTGTTTGTATAATATGCTTAGTAAAAATGAAGGTTAAATATATCAATCAATTATAGCATTCTTGCCTTCATTCTGGTGCGAAAAATGCTACAGAAATATTCACTGTCCTCTTCTACTTAATTATCTACAGGTAAACATATGAATAGAGTATATCATCTTCATTCTGTAAATGTTTAGTGGAACCACAAGTTTTAAAAGTTAGCACAGAAAGTGATGGAAAAGTAGAAAAACAGGGAAAATATATGCTCTTGTGAAATTCTTAGAATTAATGGCACCAAAGTATGTATTCATTAAAATGAATTTTAAACTAATACAACTATAAAGTATTGAGAGGTGATCATAATGGCTTCTGGCCTGTAAAAAAAAGGTATGATAGTTCACAACCAACCAGAAATTACCACAGGAAACAATCTGAGAAAAGTATTTGTCTACATCATGCTGACTTGTCATTGAGGAACTGGCAAACAAAGAGCTTGAGTCGTGTCAGATCAGCAGAAATGGCACCTGAGACTCAGTTACAGCATAAAGGCCATCCACATCTGATTCTCTGGAGGACCCAGTTATCAAGATATAACCAAGTGCAGCTAGCAGAGTTGACCAAAATGATGAATTACGTGATAGGCTCTATCTGTACAATATGAAGATAGCTACTGTGTGCCTTTTATCAGTAAGAACCTTGACCATCAGAAGTATAAATATTTGCTTAGTCACCTACCTAGAGACACAGCCAAATCCTAGGTCTTTCTCATGACAGATAGGCTAGATAAGTAGCCTAAGATTATGTTAAAACCATTTCCCACTAAGGGGCTTATATGAACCACAGAAGCAGCAAAAGGCACAGAGCCCACTTCCTAGACTTGAATAGTTCACCCTGCAAGACAAAAACAAACAAACAAACCAGGAACAAGGATCATTTGAAAAGTGGAAGAAAGTGGAGCTGGAGCAGAAACATAAAGATGCTCATGCAACATCTTCACTAAAGAAAATATCTGGAAATGCTCATGTGGAGAGGGCTTGCCAAAAAAGAACACAGAAGCCACCAGGAAGGAGCTCTCAAAGGAAAAATTTGCCCATCAAAATGTATCTTGCAACACTTAAAATACTAAAGTAAGTCTATCCTAGTATAATTAAACAGTTGAGAAAAATAAACAGCATAGTGATATTTGACCTGGGCAAGATCTATTATAGATGGCAAAATCAGTAAGTAGAAGCTTATTCAAAAGGAGTATTGCAAACTCAAATATCGAGTTCAGTCATCCAAGTATTGTAACCCTCTTTCTAGCTTTCCTCACAATCCAAAAGGTTATATTTGTAATCTCATTGAGATGTTATTGGAATCCTAGCAGGTTAATTCCAATTTACCACCATGAATCCAACCCACGGGCCAGAGTAAAGACACCAAGACATGTTCCAAGTTAAGGGCAGCCAAGGGATCCTAAGTCCAATCTTGGTGAGGATGTGCAGACAAAGTCCTGGATCCCAGGTCTCTCTCAACATTTACTATCTTGTGAAGAAAGAGGGGACGAGGTGCGGTGATTAGTGAGTAACTAACATGAGCTGGCTGGCTGGCCAGGTGCAAGAATGGCATCTCTGTAATTTGCAGAGACAAAGATATGAAGAAGATCAATTTACATAACCCAATTAAGGTAGCAGTGAAATTGTTTTGGGGCCTATACCTTTGGTTTCTGATATGCAAACTCTTGTGCTCTGGGAAGTCACAGCCTCTTACTTGAGGCTCCTACCCTGTTGACATTCCTGGAGCTATTTGCTCTAACATCTCTCATGCTCAATCTTGTATTGTGGAGAACACTATGTGAGAAACAGGACTGTCTGATGGCTGTAGATGTTGCATATGAGCACATTAGCACCTCAGCTAGCCTGTTTGCAATGCTCAGAGCCAACTGAAGAGAGAAGGAAAAAACCTAGCCAGCCTTTTACATATCAGTATAAGGAAATGAGTCTCCGAGTAATCAAAGTCATAGTAATTGTTTTGGATTCAAAGGGAATCATTGGAGTTGTCTCCCACAGGAGAATGTTTTCATAGTTATGAAAGATGTCTCACAAGACATTTATTAATTCCAGAGGGATAACTAGTAAACAGTTGAGAAGCCTGACATAACTTTAATGAAAGGTTAACATGACCAGTAATGAAATGTATTATGTCTAGAGTGCAATATTATGTTTGGATATCACAAACTGAGAAAGGGGCCACCTAACTTCTGGGATATTTTCTGGGATGTATAGCTGCAATCCAATCATGCAAGAATTTCAGGCAGACTTCCACTGAGGAATGATCCATAAAGTAACTGAGCAGTATTCTTCCAAAGTGCCAAGGTTGTAGAATTCTGTCATGAGCACCTGTCACATAGTGAAGAGACCAGGCAGACATGGCAGGAAAACACAGTGTTGAGAGGGAGGGTATTGTGTACTCTAAAGTGGCTCTGTGTAGACAAACTTGAAATCCAAACAGGACGAGATATTTAACTAATGATATCATATCAGTTTGAAACTCATTGATTTGACCACAATTCTTAGGTTACATAAAATATTTTCAGTAAAGGACGCTGGGAAAATGATAGTTTGAACTCTACTGGGTTCTACTGGTTCTGTAATTTTTCTGTAGCCCCAATAAATTCAAAAACTTTAAAAGACATTATGCCACTTAATTACAAAACAAAATGAATTTTGGGATTTGCTTCAGATATTGTTTACAGTTGTTGGCAAACATGCCCTGTACTGGCTCACAGTTCAAAAGAGTAGTGAGACATAAACCCAGCAGTGAAGAGCAATACAAAAGGGGGGCAGAGGATGGCTGGCACAGGAAAGCAGGGGTCTTAGCAGGAGAAGCCGTTCCCATGAGTCTCGAGCTAGAGAAAAAGGCTAAAGAGAGAAAGGCAGCCAAGAAGAGCAGTGTTGCAAATCTGCCAGCTAATGCTGTCGAGTCCGGTTCAGGTCTGGACACCTTCAGCAGATTCCTATTCCCTGTAGAATTATACAGTTGTGTTGATAATTTAGCCCATTCCACAAATGTAGATTGCTATCTCACGATTTTCTCTATCAAGACCTGTTTCCCAACACCATTCTACAACACAGTCTTCATTCGCCACAAGACTTGTCATAAATTTTGCATAGTTTGCCTGGCTTAGTGGTGCTACCCTGTAATCCCAGCACTCAGGCGGCTGAGGCAGGAGTATCCTTGCAAAATTCAAGACCAACTTGTCCTACAAAGTGAGCTCAAGGCCAGCCTGAACTTCATAGTGTGACGCTGTCTGAAAAAGACAAAAAAAAAAAAATCTTGCATAGTTCAAAGATATATGAAGCCTCACGGCTTTTGTGGACCACTAAATGAACTTAAAATATATTTTAGTGCATTCATAGATCATCTTGAGGTGCAACATTAATGATTTAGTTAATGATTAACCTGGCTTGCACTCTGGAACCTGAAAGCAGTGGGAGTGGCTGGGCCTGCTGGATCCAGGCCTCTTCTAAAGGCAAGAGATGCTGACATATTAAAGCAGCCACCACACTCATCCTAGTTCTTTGACGTACCCAGGAGAAAGCAGTCAGGACTTTGCTCAGGTTGGTGTTGTTCAAATGTTCGTAAATGTTCTTACATCTGTTTCACTAGGAAAATGTTGTTAGCTGTGATACTTAGAGTACTTCATGGTCTTCTGCTTCTTTGGATGTTCAGGGGACAATTAAGGCCTGGAGCATTAGTTATTTATGAAAATCCACAGCAGAGAATTTACAAAATGAAGAGAAAGTAGCTGATGCCATGAGAAAACTAATACGACAACTACAGCAGCACCTGGGGGTGAACAGGAGCTGATGATAAAGTTGTGTTCTCTGCTAAACAGGTGGTGTTAGAGGGATTCCCACAAGTCTGCACACTATAGTACTGGATTTGTGTTTGGCAGGGTGACGTGTGGAGAACTGTTTTATCAATAAAAAGAGAAAGGATATGGGTGGGTGTTTGCCTCTTGAAGCTAAACGTTTGGCATGGAAATCCATCATGTGTTCCTGCCAATCTGGATCTAAACTTACACTTGTATAGTTGATTTCACCCTCAGTTGCTAATGTTCCTGAGTTCCTTTTTCATCAGCCATCAAGTAATAAGTTATTTCTCTTCCTGCTTTTCTTTGATTCTTTTCTTCATGTATTTTTCTTTCTCCTTCCCTCTGTTGCCTACTGCTCCTTTCCCTTTGATTCCTCCCTCTCTTTGTTTTTCTTCTTGTTTCTTCTCCTCCGTTTTTCAATAGTAGTGAAATCAATCAAAGAGTGGTTGGATTGAGTCTCAAATTTGCAAGCAAGTTTACATGTAAGAGACTTTTGGTTTAATAAGACACGTGGAGTTACACATATTTCTTCAACAAAATTAAGAATGTAAGATGTTGATTTTGCCCCCCTCCTCTAAGACTTGACCTAGAGGTTGTAAAAACACTGTCGCAGAGAAGCTGTAAGACCTTTTTGTCAAATAAGAGTGTACTTGAATGTCAGATTTCCACATAATGTAATCTGCATAGGTATTAATATCTTTACCTGAAAACTTAGTACCATAAAGATTCTCTATTTTTTTCTCTTTTGAGACAGAATCTCACTAAGTAGTTCTGGCTGGTCTTGAACTCACTATATAGCCCATTCTGGCCTCAAACTCACAGTGATCCTCCTGCGTCAGTCTCCCAAGTACTGGGATTACAGTCATGTACCACTATATCCAGCTATTTCTCTATCAAGCAATTTTTATGATTTAGTTAAAAAATGAGAAACTGCCTATTATGTGACAAGCATTAAATTTGTTATTTTCCTTATGTTATGTACCAACTACATCTTTTATAAATTATAAAATAAATATAAGACAGCAGAGAAACATAGAATTATAGGAAGAAAAATAAGTACCTTCACCCATAACAATAATTTAGATTTTGATAGCAGTCAGGAAAGACTAAGAACAAATACAGTCCAGGACCCCAAGAGTTGAGGAGGGTATTGCTCCCGCCACTGTCTCTCTGTTACAGATGTTCTGTAATTTTTAAGGATCTTTTCAGACTTACAAAGCTTTTGAAAGCATATGACCCAGGCTGTTCTGTTTCCATGTTCAAAATGTGGTTAATTACCACCTGTCTAGGTTTGGTGCACTTTCAAGATGGTGGCCGCTGATGGGCAAGAATTTTGGAGAAAGAAGTTTCTGACACTTGTGCAATGCTTCCTTAGAAACAGAAATCCTCCGTCTGTGTTGTTGGATCACTAACCATAACCCTAAAGCACACTTTGCTTCTGTGTACTCATTCCTTCATGCATTCTCCATTTAGTGAAACCAAGAGACTATCAGTATGTCGGGGAAGCCAGTGCTTCACTACTTCAATGTGCAGGGTAGGATGGAGTCCATCCGATGGCTCTTGGCTGCAGCGGGAGTAGAGGTGAGTTGTCAGTTCTTTGTATGTTGGGCCTGAAACGGACCACCAAAAAAGTTTTCTAAGTCAAAAGTTTTTCCTCTGAGACAAATTGTGACAACTTTTGCCATAAATAAATATATCCCAACTTATTAATAAAGAAATAAATGGTTTCACCAAATAAAATTATAATTATCTTTCCAACAAAAAGCACATAAGCAATTAAATATATTTGTGAAGGAATCAAAAGAGATGTCAAATAATTACAATGTGTAGAATTTATTTTGATTTAAATGAACTTCAAAATATCATTTAGGATATTTATACAGCAATTAAAGAAATGTGAATTCAGTACAAGGTAGGATTAAAGAATTACTGTTAGCTTATCATATGATATTTGTTCTGATATTTAAAAAAGATCCATATGTTTTAGAGATACACAGACATGTCTAAAAGTTTGCAGACCATTTTCTTTATTAGTGTGTTTGTAGTGCATAATTTTTCATTCTTTATGGGAAGTTGGTACATGGATATAACACATTTTAATTCTTTTTTACCCCCATTTCCTTTTCTCCCTTCTCTCATCCATATATCACTTGATCCCTTTCATTTATCTAAATTTTATTTTAAAGAGAATAAAGTAGAATAAAACCAAACAAAGTAGAATAAAGCCAATCAAACCAAATAGTGAAAGTAATACAGAACTTCAAAACAGAAAAATAAAAAATCAACCATGTGGTACCATAATGCCTCCTGTTATTTACAAACTTGCTGACCATAGCATCATACATAACAAAATCAAACAAAACAGAACAGAATAAAAGCAATCAAACAGAGCATGAAATAAAACAAAGCAATAAAATGGAAGAAAACAAAAGAGTGAGAGGCCAGGTATATCTCTGAGGGAAGAGACAAAGAAAGGATTTCAATGGGTTAATGGAAGAAGTATTGTGCTTTTAAGGACATTTTGTAGTTTGTGAACAGGAAATGCTACTCTGTGAGTGCTCCCCTCTAGAGGCACCACTGGTAACACTTTTAGGCACAGATTTAAGAGAACCAGACCTAAGTGAGGGGTTTCTAGCTGTTAGAGAGGAGGTCATAGACACTGGGTACGTGTTGTCCCTCAGGTGCCAAAAGAAATGGAAGGTTAAATGGTGACGTGACATCTATGAAGGGGACTTCTAATGTGACCACTTTAATACCAATAACAATGTGCTGATTTAAGCCTGGGGAGCACTCAATCTTCATAAATGTATGAAGCCTCATTCTTTCTCAATTAGTCAATATGTTTATTGACTAACTGACTAAGTGTGCAAACAAATCCAAATGGTGTGCTAGCACTACTCCAGGTTTGTTCCTTCTATAAAGGAGTGACCAAGTTTCACCATCATCCAGACAGAAGGTTGATGTTCTGACGTACACTTCAAATTGCTGGGAAGCATGAGTTCAGCAAAGGAGGGGAAAGTAGGGGCAATGTCCTCAGCATGGAAGGCTTCCTCTTTTTCTCCCCACCATGCCTGAAGAGAGTGGTGGACATGGGCTGCCTGGAGACTACTGCTCACGTCTTCTGGGTTCTCATTGCCCAAACCTTTCAGCCTCTCCATCCTTAACTATCTCATCTTGGTCATCCTCCTGTGGTGACCAAACATGATCCCTAATGCTGTGTAAGCTGGTGGCACATACTTTTAATTGCCTGCATTAACTGTTTTAGAGCAGGGAAATCAATAAAGTCTATACTATTAAACAATTTAGGAATCTATTTTCCAATTTCACAATGGTTTCATTATGAAAAACTCTTTTAATCTATGGGAAGGAAAGGAGTGATGTCATTTCCATAAAGGGTCCTCTGGGAACAGAATCTTAGTCACTGGTCATGATATACACCATGATGAGGGCACAAAAGTTCTATTCTGATGGCACTGGACATTACCGATTTCTATTGAGAGACTAAACACACCTGAATAGAAGAAATTTCCAGCCTTTATCTTCAAGGGACATCCCTCCCAAATTGTGACCTGACCATGGATGTTGTCAGGGCAGAGATGAACTCTAGAAATGAGCAGCTGTGTATGATGATCTATGTGATTTTCTTCTTTCTTTCTTTTGGTACTGGGAATTGAAGTCTTGATGTTGTGCTTGCCAGGTAGGAACCTATACCACTGAGTTAAATTTCTGGCCCAAAATTTTCTCATGAATCTAGCATAAATTTTCAGTTGGCCATAAAAAGACACATTTGCATTCCATGTCAATCTTAGAAATCTTTACTTCTTTATATCAATTATTTCAGGGATAACTGAAGTTTTAGAGACTATAACATTATGGTATGAACTAATAACATTTTATTTACTTTTTTTACTTTCAGTTTGAAGAGAAGTTGATAATGTGTCAAGAAGATTTGGACAAGTTAAAAAATGGTAAGAATGAGAATCTGAATGCTTCTGATGAGGATTTCAAGCTTTTAACATTTATGACTCAGGTTTCTAGTCACTGAGACATAATATCTACCACTCAAATTCAAAGGAGGAGAGGTTTAATTAGACTCACAGTTCTGGGGATTCAGGCCAAGGTTGACTTGCTTCAAGGCCAAAACATTGAGGCAGAGGAGTGTGGCAGAGAAAAGATGCTTAATTTGGGCCAGGAAGTAGAGTAGCAGGATGGTGCCAGAGATGTATTGCCGAGGTGCAGACATATTCTGCTAATTTTCTAAGGATTTCTTAATCCAGTGACATAGGCATATCAGAATTAATGCTTATAAATTCTCCTTGAGAACTTTACACCCAAATTTTAATTTCCAAATAAAGATAATAGCAAGTTCATAATTCCATTTTACAGAATAAAACTGTCACACCTACAACTTGAAAAGAAATATTCCCTTCTCAAATTTTCAGAGGTTCCAGTATTTTTCAAAAGTCCAAGTGAGTGTCTTTTGACACTCAGGGCAAACTCTGAACTGTGTCAGTAAAAAACAAGTTATGTAATTCAAAAGTAAATTGATACAGGGCAAATAATCCCACCCTAAAAAGGAGGAATAGGAAGAAAGAAAAATCAGATCAAAGACTGAACCCTAGCAAAACAAACATGAAGTCTATAATCCTATATCAGATATCTGGGGTACATAATAAAAAATGTGAGTTCCAAAGGTCTTGGACAGCTCCATCCCTTTGACCTCGCCAGTTGCAGCACAAATGGCTACTCATGGTCTGAAACTTTTCTCAGCTGATGTTTCATGTTTCTGGTACTTCTTACTTTCTGGTATCTCCACTACACATTTGGTTTCATTCTCATAGTGTACGACATTGCTTTCTCAGCAACTTTTGCCTGGCTTCTTAGGTCTTCTTTTTTAATCTGGGTGGAAGCCTCCCTGTATCTACAACTCTTGCATTCTGCATGCCGGTAAAAACAACACCATGAGGACAACGCCAAGATTGGCTGCCTCCTAGAAGAGTAACTTCTACATATCCTTGGGCCATGGTTGCTACCGCCCTTGAATTCCAGTAGGGCTGAGCACAATAAAATGATTCCCAGGGTACCAATATCTTTGTATACCTTTCTGAAGCAGGAATTCTAGTGTCTCATTACTGAAGTCAAATATTTACAGATTTGTATGCTTGAGCCTGTACTAGGTAGAGTCTTTCTGATTTCTGAGATTCTGTCAAGTCATTGTTATTCTTGTTCCTATTTAAATTACTTAGTTCCTTTTCATGGGGCCAATCTCTTCAACAGCCATTCCTCTTTGATTCTAAATTTATATATGGTTCCTATTGGGCCAAAATTTTGCATTTAAAAGAATTGTGCTGAACTACAAACATGTAGCAACTCCACAAAAGAAATGTAAACAAAACAAACAAAAACTTCCCAAAAATATCCTCTCAAACAAAATGAAAAACAGAAGCAACAGCAGCGACAAGAAAAAAAAAAAAAAAAAAAAAAAAGGAAGGAAATCCAGAGATAGGTCTATGGGGAGGGAAGGAAGGGAAAAGGGATGACAAACAGAATTAAGCCAAGTGTGGTGGTGCATATCTATAATCTCAGGTCTTCTGAGGATGAGCCAGGAGGATCACCAAGAGGTTGAGTCCAACGTTAGCTATGCAGTAAGTTAAAGTCCAGCCTGAACTACACGTCAAGACCCTGTCTTAACAAAAACAAAAACAAAAGCAAAGCAGTTGAGATATATTATGTACATGTACCAATTTCCCACAAAGAAGGAAAGCATTATGTACTATACACATTTTCATGACTTGTATCTAGATACCCCCTCAAAGCCGCACATGCTCATAGATTGGGCTTCTTGGAGGTGCCTGAATCTAGAGTATGTGAATATGGGTTAAGGGTATACAGTAAAAGTATTGGTCCACTGGTTGCATCATTCTGGTGGGGGGATAATGGGCATCCAATTTATAGGCTTGCAGCTTGTATGAAATAAAATGGAAAGCAGGAGGAAGATTCACTGCTTCCTGCCTGCCCTGCCTTGGACTGTTTCTCCTCTGCCTTAGCTCTATTCTGTGTCTAAGTAATGAGAAAAATAAGTAAGGCACACAGATATTAGTCAAATAACATTTTTTAAAATGCAAAAATATTTCTTCTTGACTTTTTGCCTCTAATTCCTATGACAAATCAGTCTAAGAGCAGTCAGATGTACTCATGGTACCAACTCAAAGTTGAACTATCTTGAAATTTCTGCCACTACATTAATTACTGACCTTAATCGCAGTGTCCTGAAAAGTCTCAGGACATGGGCAAATGTAAACAATATCTGTTTTTGTACCAGAGTGTGATACACATGGATTTTAATTCAAATACCAATGGAGCTTTAGTTCCCACATGAAAAATTCTGAGTCTGGCCTTTACTATCTGCATTCTGGTCTTCTGAGCTCTACGTAGAATTGATTAACAAGATCTGTTTATAGTATTTTAAGATTTATTTCCCAGAATTTTAAATATTTTAAAACTCACCTCACAAACCAAAGCTTTTAAAATATATGGTACAGTTTCAGTAGCTACCTCACTTTTCTGGTACCACTGTTCTGCATTAGCTTTCTCATCACTGAGACACATTACTTGACACCCACAATGTAAAGGAAGAAAGGTTTAATTTGGTCCATGTAATCAAGGAATCAGCTCAGGACTAGATTACTTCAAGGCAGAAATATCATGGCAGAAGTGTGTGCAAGAGCAAAGATACTTAGATTATGGGAAGAAGGAAGCAGAGAAGGGTAACAGTGTGAGAGATGAAAGAGCCATATAGAGTACTGAAGAACAGATAAACATGATTCACCTTGACACACCCAAGATCTTGCTCTACTAAAACTGTAGACATTCCTTAAACCAGTGAATCAACATATCATGCAATGCCAGCATATTGGAAGGCTTGTAGAAGAGATGGTACAGAGGTAAAAAGTAGTACAATGTAAGGAATGTAGATCCTGAAGGAGCTCTACAAATTTAAAATTCAAAACTGAGAGATCAGTTATGAAAAAGACTAGACCTCTCTGGGGATACACACCATTATCTCCAGGGCCCTCTAAATGCTCTTCTCTCTTTCTTTATAGTGATGGGATTACAGTCAATTCAGGGTCACACATTGTCCTGCCACTGAAGCACACATAGGGCCATTCATTAGATGACAGGAGGAGAAATATATGGGGCCATTATCTTTTTTCATTTATTGCATATGAGAAGTAAATATCTCAGCACCATCACAGGCTTGATAGAATACAGGATGAGATCTCTAAGTAGACACCTCCCACAGAACCTACTTTAAATGTCATGATCATTATAAGACTTACTTTGGAAATTTTCCACTTCGAATGGCATCCAAGTGTCAGTCTTGTTTCATCTCTCCACACATTCCTAAAATATTCATGAAAATAAATAATACACAAAAAATCACAAGAGATATTGCATGTACATGGATGGGAAGTAAAAGACAAATGAATAAGCGAAGATAGGCAGGGTGGTGCATGCCTATAATCCTAGTACTCAGGAGGCTGAGGCAGAAAGAGCACCACAAGTTTGAGGCAGGTCTGAACTACATTAGAGTTCAAGGCCAGCCTGAAGTACACAGTAAGACCCTGTCTCAAAACACCAAAACATGGGAATAAAATCAATGAGTTAAAATGCATATGTAAAAGAGACAGGAAGTTGATGGACTACCAGAAATTAAGAACAAAATTCTCTTTTACTTGAAGGTGACCAAGGAATAGTTATTTCCCCATTAATCACCTCCAAGATCATTTTTCCATCCTAAAATAGTAGTATCCATTGTACTTCACTGTTTTTTTCTTTCTTATTTCCAATAGATGGGCTTCTGATGTTCCAGCAAGTACCCATGGTGGAGATGGATGGGATGAAGATGGTGCAGTCAAGAGCCATTCTCAACTACATCGCCACCAAATACAACCTCTATGGGAAAGACACGAAGGAGAGACTCCTGTATGGTATATTTTCTGTTCTTACATGGAAAAATGGCACAGTGCGTATTTAGGTTACATCTTCAGTGATCAGGACCGTGGCAGGAGGATCATGACTAGCAACAAAGTGGTCCTGGATAGATATAGTGAGATGATTGAGGAAGAATACAAGATGAGATCACTATGTTCTATAAGATGACAGAAGAGTAAAGTTGTAGATTAGGATGACTGGTTCTATTAGAACATGCTATCTCCAGACACAGAAGAGTTTTCAAACACTGGTGAAGCATGAAATCAAGAGGATGGTAGACTCATACTATCAGGTCCTCAGAGCATTATAAATGGGGTTTTGGCTAACAGTTTGGGACAAGTAACATGTGTTTGAGGGTGAGTAATAGAAGTCTTGGTGTCTGGAGAGCCAAAGGAGGCAATTTCCAAGTTCCAAAAATTATAATAATGAAGAATTGACACCTAATTTACCAGCTAATCCTGACACCAACTTGATAAGAGTTAGTGGCAGCTCGCACCCATGTTATAAGGGCCACCTGAAACTTTTCATAGAATACAACAGCCTGGGTGAATCTCAAGAAACCAAGTCCAGGGGGTTTGGAAGTACTCTTCCTGTTTTGATGGAGCTACTCAATTGAAATAATATACTGTATAGAATTGATGGCAGTTCATCAAAACATTAAGTGCAGAGTCATTCGGAAATTTCTCTACAATGGTATATACCCTTACAAAATGCATAAACATTTGTACATCTTTTGATCTTTTTTGAGACAGGGTCTTCCTCTGCAGTTCTGGAAGGCCTTGAGCTCACTTTGTAATCCAGGGTTGTCTCAAACCACAGTGATCCTTCTTCTGCCTCAGCTTTCCAAGTGCTGTATACTTGTTTAGATATATTGTTAGCAGCATTATTCATAATTTTCCAAAGTAAAAGCATACCAAATATCTATAATACAGGAACAATAAGTGAAGGCAGAATAAAAGAACAAAATATGCTAGAGGCAGACAATGGTAATGCAAAGAGAGGAAGTGGTGATGCATGATAAACAAGGATACACATTGCATTGTTTTATATAGAGTAAGGAAATGAGACTGAAAAAAGTAACTTGTTCTGTGACTTTGCATGAAATGTTCACACTATTAAAGTCTATAGAGATGCAAAGTTCTGCACTTTCAGAGAGATGAGCAGTGACTGCCCATAGCACAGAACACTTTTGCGGGTGAGTTAACAAAATATTTTGAATAGTGAATGCTAATATTTTCAGAGTTCAATGAATATGTAAGAATACCAAATATTAATATTTTAAGCATGGACAATTTAGGTATGCAAATATGTGACAATAACAAGTAAATTTTTAAAAATGGTTGTAGGTACAGCTTGAAAAATCAGAAATAATTGGCTTCCATAGCATGCATTAGTTCAACTAAATTTAAAAAACACACTGAGGAAGGGTCTAGATTAGTGATGGTGAAACTTTTCAACCTCTCAGTGATAACAAACAGCCTGCTGCAGCATATATGCCTTAAGTTCGGTACCTCTGGGCTGGACAAAGCAGAGTCATGTGCCATGGAAACAAGGCCAGAGTTGGAAGAACACATGGGAGAATATTGTGGAAACCTGTTTCATGGGAAATAATTGGGAAACTTGTAACACTGGACATGGCGATGAGCCTGTGCTGTGCAAAAAAGATATGAGACAGAAGACATGTGCCTGAAAGTTTGTGCCAGGTGTTCTATCATGAGTCTACATTTGAGACACATAGGACACACAAGAGGTTTTGCACACAAACCACACAGCCGCAAATCCTGTTTATTCTCTCAGTGATGATATGCAGTGATGGCATCAAGATCTTCCCTCATTGTGACTCTGGTCCCTCCATCAGTGCTCTTTGTACTGGTACTTGGTCATGGATATGGCAAAAATTTTATGTCTTTTCTGTCTACCTCATAGACTATTCTAAGAAATGATAACAGAAAAGTGAAACTCATACTGCAATAAACAATAATATAAAAACTACCCACTGCAGAAGAACTACTTTGTAAGCACCAGATGTTCTTATTTATTTAGGTTTTAAACACTAAAGCCTAAGGAAAATTTGACTGTTGGATGTGCTGTCTTTCAGGATCGATATGTATACAGAAGGAATGACAGATTTATATGAACTGTTCTTTAAAGTGATATTAGCTCCCCCAGAGGAGAAAGATGCTGCAAAATCTTTGATTAAAGACAGAGCAAAGAATCGTTTCTTGCCTGCCTTTGAAAAAGTAAGTGAATCTACTTATAGTTTTAGAAAGCCAAATTCGGAGGTCAGGAGGAACAGGGCTGGATGCTCCCAGAGCCTTCACCTTTACATTCAGTGAACCTTTGGAAAACCAGAGCAGAGCCTGAAGGTGAAGGAATTACGTAAGGGTGGACTGGAAAGCCACATTGTAGGGTAATAACCAAGGTATAATTTTTGAGTAAATGTTCACTCTGTTACACACGGTTTAGAATTCAGCACTCAACAGGATTTCATGGTCATAAGAGAACTTGGAGAGCAATTGTCTGTGAGTCACCCTCCAGGTTGTGTGGCCCTGAAGAATGGCCTGAACTTCCATTCCAGAGCAACCTGATATCAACAGTGGATCTCAAAGTGTTCTGGCCAAGTACAGGGAGACACTTGTCTTTACAAAGTATATTGGTAGAGGGAAGGAAAGGAGGGGACAGTAAGGGATTATAAAAGATCATCTACAGGACTGAGGTACATGGCTCCAAGACCTGAGATGAAAGACATGCAAACTAAGGAAATAAAGGTCCATCGTTGCAGATATAGTCCCTACCTTAGTTAAGGCTTTGTGAAGGTAACAAAAGAACTTTTCAAAAGGACAATCATGTGAATTTAAGCTGAACAGAAACAAAGAACCAGATATGATTATAAGAGACACAAAAGTCCTGCAAATGTATTAGAGAACTAACCCATCAGTACTCATTTCATAAAACATTGCATTATTTTTTTCTTTATTCAATGAGCCAATTTATTACTGATTTTATCTAATGAAAGAAATGATAATCTTAAAAGTGATCCAATCCTCAAATATACCTCTGTAGAGTATGTGGTGCTGACAGCTTAGGATACATCACAGGGTGACAGATTCTCAGCTGCAAATTAAATCAGGTACTATGCAATCAAAGCACTCCGTGCAGAAAATGGACAGCGTATATTATACTAAGACATTTGATATTGTATTCTATTTTTATATGAAGTAACTATTCAAAAACATGTTAAATGTTTCAGAGAAATTACTACTTAAAAGGTGCTATCATCTGCTTTCCTTTTTATCCCCTATGACAGCACTTAGTGCTAAAATACTTAAAGAATAAGAATACTTTCATAAGCCTTAGTACATAAATTTAAACATCAGTGAAAGTTGAAATAAATGCAATACTGAGTGAATGCATAGTCACTGCCCAGATAACAAAACTAATACTCTACATGTCTCCCTGCAGCAGTGAAATGCTAACTTCTCATGCATTACAATTTAAGTTGCAGACATCGGCTCAGTTTATTCCTTGAGAACTCCTCATGGAGATTATACTCTACTGTAAAGAAGGAGACAGAGCAAAGGGGATAGTGAGCTGAAGTTCCCTCGGGTTAGCTCATATCCCAGAGAGAGCCAGGAGACGAGGAAAGCAGAGAAGGCAGAAAGGACGGTACTCAGGTGACCGCAGTGGTGAAGGGAGCCAGCATGACATTAGAGCCAGGGCTCCTGGGAGATGCGGACAGAGGAGGGGAGAAGCAACTGTGGAGATTTCAGGTTGTCAGCAAATGGAAACTCGGTACAACAGAAGCTGAAGCCTTCATATATGTGGAAGGTGTGGGCACAGGCTTGGGCACAACTGGGGCGTGGATATGAGAATGAGAGTGGCACCTGCGTTTTATGTAGGAGTGAGCAGAGGCCACTTCTTAGCCTCCCTCACGGGTCAGGTGAAAGATCTGGAGCACCAAGCAAACTAAGGGAGTCAGAAGAGGCAAAAAGTCAGGCTGAGAGGCTCAGGGAGAAATTAGGACCCAGTCGGCACATATTTATGATTTTGACTCCTCAAATTCTCCAGGTATTGAAGAGCCATGGACAAGGCTATCTTGTTGGCAACAAGCTGAGCAAGGCTGATATTCTGCTGACTGAACTTTTGTACATGGTTGAAGAGTTTGACGCCAGTCTTTTGGCCAACTTCACCCTGCTGCAGGTGAGTATTCCACTGCCCTCACAGAGGCAGCCCGCATCTCCCCCCATGAATCTCATTTAGTTCCATAAGGTAGTTTGCACCTCCAGCCTTCCCCAGGCCTTCAACTTCCTTCCCCGTGCCTCCAATGTGAGTGACTAGGCCTTGGATATGAGATAGGAAATTAATCTTTTTGTGTCAGGAAATGTGAGGTATATGCTACTTCAAAATTATTTTCTGTCTAACAGGGCAAGTGCTTAAAGCCCTGTGTCTTCCGGCTCCACCATTGCCCTGTTTACCTGATGTCCTTTCCTCTGCTCTGGCTTTCACTACCAGGGGTTGTGTATTTCTCTCCATAGGTCTATCGCTTCCCAGCCCACACAGCACCCTACTAACAAGCAAGCCCTACCAGTACCATTAGTGCGAATGTTGGTTATGACTAGCCCCTGATTAATATTTCCTATCTTTTTTTCAACTTGAGTTTTTCTAACTCTACATTTCCTTGCTTAGATACATTTATTTGTTTATATCTAGCAGAAATATTGTTCTCTGTGAGTTGCAAGGATAAAAATCAAGTGTTTATGTCTGAGAGGACAGGGATAACTACCACTAAATGAAAAATTAAAAGATGTGTTTCAGGAAGTTGTATTAAGCTATGCTTTCTGCTTCTTGAATTCTGTTCACTGTGTGTTTCCAGCTCTATACTGCAGCTGATGGGCCTTTGTAGGGGTGGGATGGGGGTTCCCAGGTTTTGTTAATAGTTGTTTTGGAAATTAAGATCCGCCATGAGATTGTGATTTGTATGTTGCAGGCTCTAAAAACTAGAGTCAGTAACCTGCCTAATGTGAAGAAGTTTCTGCAGCCTGGCAGCCAAAGGAAGCCATTTCCTACTCAAGAAATGTTTGAAGAAATGAGAAAGAGGTTCAAGTTTTAATATGGGTGGTACTGACCAAGCCATGCATAACAAATTTCTAAATTTTACGGCAATAAAATTTTTGTGTAAATATTGATCTCTGGCATTTCTAGATTGTATATCACAATGCAATAACAGAATTTCTTTAAGAAGACTTAACATTTATTTTCTCAATTAGGTTTGGATGTGTAACTGAATTTCTAATTTCCTGTTTTTTTTTTTTTTCTTTCTTGGTGTTTTTTGAGACAGGGTTTCACTCTGCAGTTCAGGCCAGGCTTGCTTTCACTTTGTAGCCCAGGGTGGCCTCAAACTCACAGTGATCCTTCTGCCTCAGCCTCCTGAGTGCTGGGATCATAGGCGTGTGCCACTACAGCTGACTCTAATGTGCTTTTATAGGGAATAGATATTTAATTAAAAATTCTTGTTTTCTTAGTTTAAAAATTTGCATTTTAAAATGTCACATGTACACAGTAAATACCTGTTACTCGATGTAGCATAGCAAAGCTTTCCTGCAGAAATAATTTACTATAGACCTCTATTCAGTCCATCAAAGCCTCACAGTTTCTTAGATACAGGGGTTGAAAAAAATGCATCAGGATATGATATGTAAGTTACATGTTTGTTTGTTATGCTATCTTTGGGTACCTCATTCCAGGGATATAAAAATGGAGGCATTAGAAAGCTAGTGTGTGAGATTAAGTGACATGAGAATACCTAATAATAAGGGGATAAAAAGACATTTAGTGTGTTAGATATTCTGAACCTGTGCCCAGTATAAAAGGAGAGAATGTAGGAGTTCATGCTAAAATTGCTGTTTACAGAAGTGGTGAAAAAATTGCTGTAGATAGAAATTTGTCAGAATCACAAGCTTGGAATTCCCAACTATGTATTGGCATGATTAATGCCTTCAGTTTTTTCTTTAAACCTCTAGCCTCTGCAAGAAAGGTGTCCCCCATGGCCAGTAACCAAAATCTATCTTGCAACTGGATAATATTTGTGATATGTAGTTAGTAACAGATGGTTTGTGTTTTGTTACTAAGTGGTGATACCATTGGCTTTTCTATGTTTCTTTAATGCTAGTGTGCTGTAATGTTAGGCAGAACTTTTCATAAGCAACTGTCAGAATCTTGCGGGTAAGGGCAATCCTGTAGAACTAGTGGATTTATATAGGAAAATGACCTAGATGTATGATTTCAATGAAATTAAAAATCATTCTCTTATTGTACATGATCATGTTCTCAGTTCAACAAGAATTTATTTATTTATTTTAAAGTGGGTAAAACAAAATAGATCAGAAGAAAACAATGTAAGTGACGTAGGATTTCCATGCAAGATAACGGAAGATCAACAGTGGCTCTATCATAATGTCTCATTTTCTTTTAAGTAATTGTTTATATCTTCACACATAATGAATTCATACAAAACAAAACAACATAAAACTGATCAAAACAGGATAATGAAGGCACTACAGGCCTTCAAAACCAGACCATAGGAAAATCAACAATGGCTACTGTAATGTCTCTTGTTCTCTTCAAAATCGCTGTCTATACCTTCGTGTATGTTAAAATTAAATAATACAAAACAGACTAAAGCCACTGTAAACAAAGAATAAAAGCACTACTGGATTTCATAGCATAATGATAAGAAATCAACAATGGATACCATAATGTCTCTTTTTCTTCAAAGTAATTGTTGTTATCATCACACAAAATAAAATCAATTCTCATAAAATCTTCAGGAAAAGTTCTAGGCATATAAACCTCTACACGTATATCTATCCTTTCAGCATTAGAGGGAAAAAAACAAAACAAATTACTAGAAAAACAAGAAAAAAATAAAAATAAATAATAATAGCATAGAGCCCAAAACTATGACAATATAGGCCTTCAAAATAAGGTGGTAGCCTTGTATTCTTTGATACTGTGATTTGAGGAACTATTTTCAAGATGATAATATGTAATATACTAACAGGTGATTTCTTACTGTTATGTTTTTTTTTTGTTTGTTTGTTTTGTTTTGTTTTTTTGTAGTTCTGTATTACGTGTACCCTTACACCGCTTTGGTTTGTTTTTTGTTTTTCTCTTTTTCCTCTTAAATAAAAAAAAAAAAAATAAGGTGGTAGGAACATAACTAAGGTTGTCATTTTACATAGTGATCTTCAAGAGTTACTCAGATTACCAGACATAAACATGCAAAATTGATTCAATGCTATGAGTGCTAACTGTTTTGTTCCAAGAAATAATAGAATTAGTAGAACAATCATCTTAGCTATTTTGTGTGTTTATACAAATTAGATATTTTTCTTTTCCCTTTCTTTTTTTCTCCTTTTCCCTGAGTTATTTTTTTTCTTTGAGCAGATTCTTATCTTTTCGCTATATTTATTTAGGATTTTGTTACTTATGTGCTTTTACCATTTCCTACACTAGGGAGACAATACAGTATTTACTCATGTGAAATTGATATATTTCACTTATGAGTATGGTCTCTATTGTTGTATCCCTTTACCTATAAAATTGTCGATGTGATCATTCTTTTTTTATTTGAAGAGAAAGTAACAAAAAAAATGAAGAAAAAAAGGATAGAAATAATACAGAATTAGAGAAAAATAAACAGTAAGAAATCACCAGTTGATAAGTTACATATTGTCATCTTAGAAATAGTTGTTCAGGTTACAAAATTAAAGTATGTAAAGTGATATTCCAATAGTGACATTCAAATAGTGACACTGCCAACAGTTCTGCTCAATGATTCAACAAAAACTTAGTAATATGGTTATCAGTCCTACACACTTATTTTTTAATCTTAAAGAGGGTAAGATTAAACATATCAAAACAGAATAAAACAGTTAAAAAAAACAATTTAAAGAAATACAGATTTCAAAGCAATTCCACTGGAGATCTACACTGTCTATCTTATTGTCTCTAATTTTCTTCCAAATAGTTGTCCCCATCTTCACACACATTGAATACATACTGCATATTACAGAACTAATCAAATCATTACAGGATGATGAATGCTTTTTAGGTCTTCAAGATCTGATATTGGGGAAGCCAATAATGACTACTATAGTGTCTCTCATTCTCTTTGTAGTAGCTGTCCTTATCTTTACATATGCTGAAATTGAACTTAAGTGACTAGATTAATATCATTGAACAACAAATAATAGTATTGCTAGATTTTATATCATAATGCTACAGAATTAGCACTGGGCTTCTTAGTGTCTATTCTTCTTCAGAGTATCTTTTCATTACATTGTGCATTATATAATCTGTACCCATAAATAGTTTTAAAAATTCTTCCCATGTGTGAATTTCTACATGTATATTTATTCTCTCTGTATTGTAGGGAAAAACAAATCATAACAAGACAGCAAAACAAATTCCTAGAAAAACATGCAATGAAAAAGACACATAAGATCACAATATTAGGTGATCTACCATAGTTACTATGCTTTCTCTTGTTATTTTCAATAGACTTGTCCACACCATCAGGCTTAATATAGTTAAGTATAGTATTACATAGCCATTTTTATAAAAATACAACTTTGAAAACATTAAAGGGTTGAGAGTGGTTAATAATCAAACCGGTATGGTTATCTTTTACATCTTGTCATCTTCAGAGTAGTTGCCACTACTTTTATTCTTGATACTATGATACATACCAAATTCGAATAAAATAAGCCAAGTCTAACAAATCAGATTCAAATAAGATCAGTCATAGTAAGACAATGTAAGTAAGACATATAATAATCAATGTTCCAAAAATCCACCACAAGAAAAGAATATTAAAATCAGCAGAGAAAAGAATCACTTTACCTACAATGGGAAAATTATCAAAATAACAACAGACTTATCAACAAAAACTCTCAAATCAAGATGAGCCTGGAGGGCAATAGTCCAAGCCCTGATAGCAAATAACCTCCAACCAAGACTGATGTACCCAAAAAAACTCTCTCTCAAAATTAATGGAGAAACAAGATAGTTCCAAGACAAAGAGGAACTGTGGGAGCTCATGTCCACCAACCAAACCCTACAAAAAATCCTGAAGGACACTCCAGAGAGAGACAGAGGGAGAGAGAGAGAGAAAGAGAGAGAGAGAGAGAGAGAGAGAGAGAGAGAGAGAGAGAGAGGAAGGGATACCAGGATTCCAACAACAGTGGCAGAGAGGCCTCAATGAATGGGGCAGACAGTGGAATGAAGGAGTAAAGTGGACAAATAATGGCAGAAGAACAGAATAGCAGACATGAGGCAGAGACTGTAAGCTATAATCTTTAATATAAGAAGCCCTGAGATACTAACAAAAAAGAAACACAGGCAGAGTAGATTAGGAGGTAGGATCCATCGAGATGCTCTGAATAGGAGATATACTCAACCTGAAAGACGATTAATAAACTGAGAGTCAAAGATGAGAAAACAATGCTATATGTGACAGGAAAACAGAGAGAAATAGGGACAAGTCATCCAGCAGCCACAGATGGATTGGAAAGCTATGACACTTTTGGGCAATGTAGAACTACACAGCTAGAAGGAAGGACAACTTGTGACTTTAGTAAGTAGAGGAGTACAGCTCAAGATCAAGCTCAGGGGTAAAAAGGTTTAGCAACACTCATATAGATAATAGGTTGGCCACCTAATCTAAAAACTAAAAGAGCTAGTGGGACCCAAAAATTACAAAGCACCCTGAGAAAGGGAAAAGGGAGGAATTGTCTAAAAAAAGAAGGCAGAGGACATTTTTAATAGTGTGTCAGGATTTAAAAGTCACAGTAGTCTTATCGCTCTGTTTACTTTGATTTTATTTTGTTCCGGTCTGTCTACTTATATCAGATTTGAGGGCACAGACAGGTAACCCCAAAATAACAGGTTGTACCATGGTAACTATCCTTAATTTCCTATTAACTTACACTGAAATCCTGTATTACTTACATTGTCTTACTATGACTGAACTTATTTGAAGCTGGTTTGTTAGACTGCTGTTTAGCCTTGACTGATTTCATTCGAATTTGGTATGCTTGATAGTATCAAGTTTGGGAATGGAGACAACTACTCTGAAGGTTACAAGATGTAAAAGATATTCATTCCTGTTTTTATTATTAAC